CACTTTCTTGACCTTCTTCATGCCCTCCATTACTCCAGAAGTCGTCACCCTAGAAGAGAAGGGAGAACCATCAGAGAACAGAACTTGAACTGTAACATCCATCTCACCAACAGGCCATGCTGGTCTTCTGTGCATATCAAATAACACTTCTCAAGTGTCTCTTTACTAAGACGTAGCAGTCTCAATGTTCAGTCTCTCCTGTTGCTACTGTTTTGCAGGCCAGGTATCATCTTAGACACAACGCTGATGGGTGCTGGAAGCAAGGCCACTGTCCTTGAGAGCCTCAAGGCCCTCCCCATCTATCATTAAACTAAACAAGGAAAGAATACTTGCTTGTACTTGAAAGAAGACAGCCCGGGTGGTTAAACAGTTAAAACTGGTGTTTATTTGCTAAACTTTGAGTAGTTTGCTTAAAAAACCTTTTGCTATACAGCTGAACACCCTTAATTCTGTGCATTAAATATTTTTTTCCGTATTTGCAATGCTCTTAGAATGTATTATACAAATACACACAGTGGACAGTGTCCCAAATGAACCTTAGGAGCTTAATGCGCACCAACTCCTGCTAATAGCAAAATTACTCAATGAACAGCAACAAAACAGAAGAGAGAGCTCATCCTTTTTATACCATCCAAGTCTGGATTTGTCACGGCAATCTCACCATTGAGCTATAAAGCCTCATAATACCATTCAAACAGTAGGCAGACTGAACTGTTTATCCAGCCAGAACAGCAGCACTCCTCTCAGAACTACCTGGCCTATCCAACAAACTCTTCACCCCAGTAGTTTTCTCTGTTGCTATACAAAACTGGCTATTCACATCCACAGGACATTTGCTTTATTCTTTTGCACAATGATTCTCATTCTATACAAGTATTTTTTTTCCCCACAAATGCACTGCAAAGGTTATTTTGGATGCTGAAAGTAAAGAGCGTCAACAGCTCAATGCATTCACAAGGGATGCCTGGAAGCGTACATAAAACTGTCCTGTTCAAAGATGCTGCCATCAGCCTTTGTGTGCTTCTACCTGCTGTTTACCATGTGAGAACGCTTTATTTGATCAGACTCGCTAACAACATTTTCACAATATCACCCCAGAGGAGAAGTAATCTTCAGATACACTCTTTTGATAATGCCCTTAGTTCCACGTTAGATATCAGCTTCTGTACATGTACCGTAAAAATAATTTACTTGGTGGTGTGTTCAGTGCCTCTCTAGTGGTGGCCGTACTGGGATCGTCAGTGGTTCAGACACTTTAGAGTGGGGCTAGATGATCTTGTGTTTAAGGGAAGAGAGAGAGAGTCAGAAGAGTACAGATCAAGCAGCAACTTTATGGCCTATTGAAATTAAAAAAAAAAAGGGAGAGAAGCAGGTTGCTTAAAGGAGAAAGATGGAATTGGTGAACAGTGAACACCTGACATCAAGCTTATCAGCACAGAGAACATGTAGATCTCGTAAGTCTGTTGACAAAGGTTTTCCCACAGCCACATAGGAAAAAATCAGGGGAAACATGAGCTAGACAAAACCATCAAAGTAGATGCATAATTAATTGGAAAAGCATGCACTGAGATGTACTTAATGGTTTCCTGTCAAAAATGAGAGAACATTGAGTGTGGTTCCAGAGAGGTCTGTCCTGGGCTCACTTCTACTCAATATTTTCAGTAATTGTCTGGGTAATGGAATAGAGAACTTGCTTATTAAATCTGCAGAAGACACTAAAAACTACCTATTTGAGAACAGGACCAGAACGCAGAAAGATTCTGGCAAATTAAAGTAATGGTCTGAAACATATTGGACAATGCAGCAAGACAGCTACAAAGTTTACTCTTCAGGAATAATAAAGGTTGTAATTGCAGAATAAGGGGCTACATATCAGTTCTTCAGGGAGGAGCTGAAGATTACAATGGACTACAAACCAAAAGGAAGCAACAACACAGCAATGCAACAGCGGACACACTGGTATATATAAATAGGTGTTTTGCACATACATGACACCAAAGTAGCCAGAACACTTGACTCACAGCTAGCAAGATCTCACCTGGCACACAGCCTAGATTTTAGCACTGCGCTCTAATACAATTACAAACCAAATGCACGCCAGGATGATGACAAAAATGATGAGAGGTTATGGCTAAGAGGGAGTGATCCACTTCCCACGTTCATGAAGGGACAACAAGCTACATCGTGAAATTGCAGCCAGATCAAGTCATTTGTTACCACAGAGGCCATTTACTGTCCTGTTCCCCACCCCGGCCCTCGCAAGGATAACAAAGAGCTGGGAGAGACTGCAGGGTGGATTCGACAGTGAAAGTTAAAGACCATCTGATCAGCACTGTTCTTGTCTCATGACAGGTTTATGTCCTCATTTTCTCAAATTGTTCATGTACAAAAGGCTAGTTCTCTCCCTCTTCAAATCAGTCCAGCCAACACATTTTAGTGCCCAGTAAAATCAGGCTGTCAGCACTAAGTCCAAGCACAGACCAAGCACACTGCAATTCTCATTCTAATCCTCTGAGCACTCTCAGGACTTCAGCTCTGACCTGCAATGCTGCAAGTAAACGTTCCTCACCTGCAGTCTGCTGCACTGCATTTCCAGCCCACAAACTAGCAGTAGCTAAAATGCAACAAATCCTTCTCACTAAACCATCTCTCTCCAGAGAGAATTTTTGTGGCTGTCAGAGAGATACCTATCACAAATGAGGCACAAAAGCAGTTCCCAGAGCGCTCCATTGCACAGTGGTACATGCTGCAGAAATTTCATAGGGTTTTTTTTTTCCCCTGCATTGTATCCAAGGTATCAAGGAATGGCTAAACATCCAGAAGCATCTTCAGCCCTCCACAGTGGTGGATCTTGGCTGTCTTTTACCGTGTGGTTTTTTTTGTTTGTTTGTTTTACAGTCGAACAAGAAACACTGTGATACTGGCAGCAGCCAGCCTTTACAAGCTATTGCAAACTGGAGTGAAAACTTATCAGCCATTGAGCAAAAAAGCTGATCTTTGCATGGGAAAGATGTGTGAGGTGGAGAAAATCACTTCTAATGGAGAGCATCACAAATCAGTCTGCCATGAGGCACAGCCTGAGAGAAAGCAGAGAAAAGCAACCAACCCCAAGTCTCAGCCCAGAATAGGTCGCCTCATGGTACAGTGAGAAACTCCAGATCCCAAGGCATAAGCAAAGGTAGGTCAGTGTTACCACAACAGTTCACTATGTTGAAGCTGTTTTGGGTGTTAAGGGAAAACAAAATTAGTCTCCACGTACTCAGTAAAGTGGATCTCCTGAAGTGAGAACAAAACCATTAATGGTTTTTCCTGCAATTCCTCCTCCAGTGGAAATACCTTGTCCCCACACGTCTGTATGAACATCATTCTCAACCAGGATCTGTAGAAGAACACTTCGGTACCCAACACTTAAAGCAAACTTACTGAGCTAATGAAATGACTTACTGCAAGAGTAAAAAAAACCCTAAAACTGCTTCCTTTCCCCTTCCTCACCCCACCCCATCTACTGTACTGTTTATGTTTGTGTTCATGCCCCAGAAATGGCATTAGGGCTGGAAGCCCGACAGCTCTTTCTGCCAAGTGTGGCTGCACCTTTTCAAACAGAGCACTTTAACTGTCAGCGACGAGCCCACATACTGACACAACGGGCTCGAGAGGCTGCCCAGCGCAGAATACACAGAGAGACACTTTGTTGATGATGAATGGCTATTGACCCTACTTGAAAAAGAACAGGCTGGTCCTTAGTTCAGGTTCTGTCATACTCTCCTCTCCACCAGGACAACTTCTATTGATTCTGGTACAACTGAAGAGCAAGTCCTATAGCATCTGTGGATGATTTCTCCCCAGAGAGAGGCGCGTTAGTTGAAAAGACATGTTACAAGTTACCTTTGCTGTTCTTGATTTATAGTTTATTTCTGAGGGTCACAAGAATTTACAGAGGGAGGATTTGTGCCTTCTCTTGCTTCTGTCACAGATAACTAGTCTTTGGATTTTTCATTAAACTTTGCATATTTCCATACTGTCCTTAACAATCTCTACATTTACTGCCAGACTGAGCTTTGTATAGTTTGCACTGTGTGAAAACAGGTATAAGCTCCAGAGCTGCACTTAAAATGTCCTTTTTTGTGCTGGAAGACAAGCAAGCCTGGAAAACAGGCTTACTGACCTTGTGGCTCTCCCGTCCATCGGCTCATAGAAACGTTGAGTCTAAAGAAACTGAATGCTTCTGCAGCAAATGTTTTAAACAGCCTGATTTTAACAAAAACCCTTTTGGAAAAGAAAACAACCATAAAACCTGGCAATAAGACATGGCGGAACACCAAAAAGTTTGTGTGCTTTTAACTTCTGCCATAGCCTCTACGGAAAAGTGGGTATTTATCACCCGAAAGACAAAACACTCATACAGTGGTTAGTCAGGATGCTGTCAGGCACTTAGTCACTTGCTCAAATATGCCTCGATAATCTCCCCCCCACAGAAACAACATTTAATATTTATAAAAGCAAAAATAGGACCAGCAAGACCAAGTCAACAAGAAACTTAATACACTTTCATTGCAGTGCTTCACCTGTCACAAATACGTGCAAACTTAACCTCCCTGATGCAGCTGGGGAAGGGAGAACAAGACAAGTACAGATTATACCCTGCCAAGTGCCCAAATGGAGTAAAACTTCTGGTGAATCAGACGAGAAAATTTCAAGCAAGGCGAAGGGGAACAAACCCACAGGGCACAACAATGGAAACTCCCAGGGCAAAAAGCAAAATGCCTTACTAGGAAAAGGCTCACAAGGAATCCTGATCCTCAAGTTTCTAGTAACGTTTATTTCACTATGGCAAGATATAAATCACTTAATTAGTTCATTAAACTTTCTCTAGCTTATTTCTGGCAGATTCTCCTAAATTTAGCAGCTTCTCCAATTTACCAAAATTACTAAATACTAAAGTTGCCATATTATTAGTCCTAAAAAAAAAAATACATGCAAAAATTCGTTAAGCATGTAAAGCAAAGTTGAAATTCACTCTAACAGCCAAAAAGGAAAAAAGATCATTTCTGTACAACCACAAATCCTGACACATCTTCCAGTTCAGACAGCACCTGCCTGGTGTGAATGGTTATCTACCAGCTTCTAAACCAAAACCAGTTTCTTACATCAACCATTTAAGCACCTTTAAGCAACTGTGATTTTAAGGTCACTACCCACTAGTTGGATTCCACTTGTAACAATGACAGATTTTATGGACCCAGAGCAAAAATAACCAAGCATTTGGAAAAGTTCTTTCTTACTAGAAACTGTTCTGAGAAATCAAACTTCCTTGGCATGACATTTCAGGCTGGATTGTACCTCAACACTCCTTGTAGCAATTCTCCAATAAGATCAATTTCTTTCTGAGCTAACTGGGAGGGCAAACACATTGACTTTTTTGACCCTGCAATAAAAACTGGAGTGTTGATTTGTAATCAGGTAAAGGAGAATTGCCAAACTGTAAATAAACTCTTAGAACAGGCTTCTGAGCCTGTACATGAATTGCAATTATGCATGAAACCTGTAACTACTAAAGAGATGAGGTTAGCTGGGCTCCTATTAAGGCAACAGAGTTTGTGGCAATTATAGCTGCATTCAGCTCTTGTAGCATGCTGAATTTCTTAGGGCAGTTTCTATTACAGATTCAGAAATGCCACTCATTTTCTAAGTCCTCAGAAAACTTCAAAGAAAACGACAGGGACTTAAGCTGAGCCCCACTTTATAATTTCTCCAGACTATCTCAGGCCCTACTGCATTTGTGGTGCGTCATGGTTTAGCAGCAAGGAACAGAACAGTGAAGAGTATGGGTAAAATCCATCTCTTTGGCTCAGTGTTACTTAAATTTCTGCAAAGCTACAGCCTGAACTTGAAGGTAGAGGTGACCTTACACCATGTTCATTTATATTCCATGGACTGGTAGTTCATTTTTGTTCTTGTTTTGGTTGTTTGGGTTTTTCTAAAATATGAAGCATTAATGACAACCTGTAAAGCTCACTGGTGTTCAGCACCACAGATTTAACACAGAAGCTTTTTTACTTGATAGTTTCATGGGCATCTTTTTGCCCCATGAAAAGCTTTATCAGCCTATTGCACACTACTGCAACATCCAGCTCAGAGGCTCCTATGTGTAGTACAAATCTCTTTTGTTAGTTTAACAAACACACCAAATAGACACCTCATTTTTAAACACATGGGCAGATCTTATTTTTTTTTCAAAGGAGGATTTAGAGAGATTAAAATAAACTGGTTTTATACATTACTTTTCTCAAATCAAAGGAAAAGGTAAAAAAGGGGAGGAGGGGGTCTTACACAGCTTCCATCTCCAAGTCATCCTCATCATCTTGAGAAAGTTGTAGGTAAGGGTTGTCTGATGCTGGACGGAACTTGTACCCAGTGAGGACAAAGAACACAAGTGTGGCCATCTCATCCAGCAGCTGCAAGTAAAAACACAAGATTGAAGTTCAGTCCTGTAATCCTGCATGCTCATGAAACACGTCTCCTCATCCATAAGGTTCAAGATTTAATGGCCGAGAATCCTGTGCCATAGCAGAAATAACAAAGCAATTCCTGTCCTGTTATCATTAATCCCAGGCTAAAGGCTGCCAAGCTCTTTGTTCTTTCAGCTTTCCCTGTCACTTTAAATACAGTTACAGCTCTAGCCATCACTCCAGTGCTTCTAAATAACTATGGCAAGACTTGGCTTTTAAATGAGAGGGAGAAAAAAAAAAATCATCCCTCCGCTGTTTGGTATTTTCAATAGCTAATGTATTCCAAAGACTTCCTGCACAGTTACTTGGATTATATGTTAAGAAACCAAGTATTTAAAAGTCACTAGGCAAATAAAGCCTGTAGATGGAAGAGCAAAAGCCTCTTTCACTGGCTCCCCGGGGCCTTAATTACACAGGGCAAACCTGACTAATTTTTTTCTCCTCTGTATATTCTTGATTAATTTCCTTCAGACATTTTAAAATGGAAAGACTAAAATCAATAATGCAATTACTTTCAGACATCTCATGTATAATCCAGTAGCCCTGCTGGACAAACATAAAACTAAAAATATATTCCTGCCACCTTAGGCAGATCAGTGATGAAAATAATGTTCCACTACAACATAAGGAACAACTTAAGCATTTTTTTGTGTTTGTGTGCGCAGTTATATTCAAATAATAAAAAAAAAAAAAAGCAAGGAACAGATGTATTTTCCTTTGCTGGCAAATACCTGGTACAGCCATTTCCACTGGAATGGAACAGCAATCTTTATGAGAATTGCAATGATCCGTGTGAAGTAAATGTAACACACAATCTGGGAAGGAAAAGCAGAAAGCATGAATGAGAACAAAAGCATCATCCTTATAAAACCTTTTTTTTTCCCAAATAGCTTAAGCAATTCCCAGACAACTCATTATGTCAGATTAGCCTTATTATGCTCCTTGGTAAACATGGAAGATACAGGCTGAGGGTCCTACTGCTTGTTGAACATCCAAATGACTCAAGCTATTGCTAACATATTTATGTTACAGCAGGAAAATGCTTTAAGTCTTAGAATTTTGTAGAACTTGAAGAATCAAGATTGTAATTTATTACTCTTAGAGTCTGGAATAAGGCCGTTGGAAACCATTAAGAAGTCTATGCTTTCTTGGGAAGTATGCTCATGGCTCCCACTGACTTAATCAGAAAGTGCCCACATGCATCTCAAGGCACCATTTGGTCCCAAGTTTAATTTTTAGCAAGTTTACAGTACGTTATTCAAGCCCATCAATTCAACTGGCAGCTCAAGCTGTCCCCAGAAGAAATCAGAAAGCATTACAAATAGCTGGAACCAATTTAGACAGAAGGATGCAACCACTAGGAAAAGAAGGGAAGTTGCTTTGAGGATTATAATCCAGTCAACGAAGATGCCTAAGCACAGCACTGCCACAGAACTAGGAACTCCACCACATCGAGCAGCTAGAGCAGCTTCCAACAACTAAACCATCAAAAAAGCTTTAAGGACTTCTAAGTGCTTTGTGTGCATGCATACAGGTTTTTTACTTACCATAACATAGTAATGTCTGAAAAGCTTCAGCTTTGCTAGGTTAATGGCAGCTATCGAGAGAACAGAAAAGTCCATCAGAAAATCAGTCAAAATGGGAAGAGTTTCTTTTGATGCTTGTCTGCAAGGTAGGCAAGTGGTCAAAACTAGGACTCGGGTAATCCCAGACTAGGTGGTCTGTCCCACAGCTCCTTGGGTGCTCAGAGGACTGCCAGTCTGGCAACTCAGTGAGATCACTTTTACACTAAATTGTATATGCAGACACTCTGTAATAGAGAGCCTTACTGTAACGCTCATCTGTGTATAGCCAGCTACATACTGTCACCTCCCTCCTGCCAGAAGGGCCATGTCACTTGACATTGCTTCCTAGAAAATTCCTCTTTTCTAGAGTACTTCCTGACCTACTGTGTGCCTTCAGCTGACCTGAGCAACTTTGAGGTGACCATGGCTTTGGGAACGACTGCATCTTGTTGAACCACAGCAGGAGTATTTTAGCATTAACACAGTATCCTCTGTCATTCATGGCTCAGTCACAACTTACCAGTGAAATGGGAAATCATACTAAACAGTTCCCACAGCAAACGCATGTGTTTCAGACACAAACTGTGTAAGGTAATGCCCTGGGCTAACCTGTGTTTACTGGGCAGATTACATCAACTCTGGAGGAACATGGCAGATATTCATGTGAACGAGCAGAGGTCAACAGCAGATGGAACGGCTGTCAGCTCTGGTTTGAGAGTCAGGTTTTCACGGTGCAGCAGGATTACAAATACAGACTCCTGGTGCTTTTGTGACAACAGGAGAAGCAAAGAGTCCAAGATATGTTGACAGCATACAGAGATGCAATTTAGAGCCAGTGAACACAAGTTGCCAGCTAGAAAATACTGCTACATACCTACCGGTATTCCCTCCAAGCTCTCCTTACAGTTTTTTATCTGATGTGGAAGAGCAACACATTGTGCTTAAGTTTACCTGCATTGCCTCCCAGAAATCACCCACTGCAAAAAGCAGATTTATAAAAGGCTGCATGTACTTGCACATGAGGTCTTCCAGGTTCACAACAGTGCAAAATATACTATTACACATCAGGAAGAAGAGGGTTAATACCTCCCAAAAAATTCATCACTTCCTGGGACAAAACCAATTAAGCTTTTCTTATGGAAATGTAACATCAAATGCACCACTCAAACTGTTACAGGTTCCACTACACAAACTACAGTGAAGACAGACTACATCCTGTTATAAACCCACTGTGTATAATCTGGAGACCAAGAGCTGCTTTCCAACTCACCTTTAGTGTTCCAGGAGAACCACTGAAAGGTGTGAACACCTCGAGACAGATACAAGCCCTCCTGCAGCAGATACACTGTAACAGCACCTGACACACAGCATAAACCGACCGACAGGTAGATTAAGCTAAGAGTAGTTTTGATTTAGTGCTGGCTAGTGGCTTCTACACATTTCCAAACAGTATGTTTAACTTTTGACAGAGCACAGGGCACGTCAGTAAGAGAAAGCAGAGCCAGAGCTCAAGAGGATAAAACCAAACCTTATTTGTGAAGGAACACCAAGCTTGTTTCCATGCAGCTAGAGCTCGTGCTGTGCAACACTTATCTGCACACCAGTCAGCCTGGGTTGGCTTTGGGCAAGACTCTGCTCATGGAGGCAACCTTACAGCACAGGATGTCAGAGGAACACGAGCTCTCAGTTTTGGGAGGATGATCCCTTCCAGACTCCAGTATGAAACACTGAACACAGAATAGCATCTAGTTTGCAACATACAGCTCTGGACTCCGGAAAGCAATGCCCAAGCTCTAGACTTGCATATGTAGCCTAACAGCAACAAAGCGCTGAGCACCTCACCGGGCAACAGATGGCAAGACTCAGAACTGCTAGAACAAGACTAAATCCTTGGTAGCTAAATCAACCTGAGACATCGGTTTAGCTAATTCTGCATTTCCATCCCTCACAAAAGCTAGCTTCCCATATTTAAATGGGAAAAATAAAAATTTTCATGGGTCTAGTATTCTAACAGATAACCTAATGTTAAAAACTTTTCATAAGACAGTGGGAGAGAGATTAAAGCCTGTAAATATGCCAGACAAGCTCATTAAATCATGAGGCAGGGAAGCAATATTGTCCTATTTAAAGGAGATCTACATTAAGTGTGACCATGAAGATCTTGTGATTTACCACACATCAGATTATACACAGAAGGATCTATTTTGAACCCAACGCATTCATCTTCAAGAACTGATGCCAACTGTTGTAGTGACAGGCCATGAGAATCACCAGGCGTTGTAGTTAAAAGAACACCAACTCAACAGCTGTGATTCAAACTCCCAGCCCATCCGTGCTTTACAGTCAACAACGGAGCAAGCTGGGGAGTCATTTCTGTTGGACTCATGCATTGCATGGGAGGAAAGGATAGTGAAGCCAAAGATCTGGCTGCCAGCACAAGTGTCACAATGCCACCTCTCCCAACTGATGGAGCACAGCTCAAGATCTCACCTACTCAGCATGGTAATCAATACCGAAGAGTCATAGGTTGGTAGATCCAGACATCTAGAATGGCTGAGCATGGAAAAGAAGGGTGAAGGGAGGAAAAATTACAACCACCACCAAACAGAAAGATTGAAGAGCCACCTCTGGAAGCTGGCTTGCTTATTTATCTGAACAGCTCTTCTCCAGCTGCCTCAATTTCAGGAATACTTCTCTCCACTACCAGACATTAAAGTCAGTAGTAATGCACATCTACAAAATTCGTCCAGTTTTTTTAAACATCTCAAAGTTACAGCACACACTGTTCTGGAAAAAGTCTAAAATCATCATTGCTTGGCATCAGCAGCCTGTGAATTGCTTTTTCACAGGCTGAATGTGCTCCAAGCAGGAACACTCGAGCTGCGCTATGCTGGACACTTTAAGACTTTGATTCACCTTAGCCTGGCAGTCCAGACACTGACAGCAACGCTTGTGAGGAGAGAGGCTCAGCCAGCAGCTGTCACTTACAACTTGAATCACTTCCAGCCCCAACCTGTAAAGCTGTGATAACACAGCAGCAATCACAGCATGGAGTAAAGGTTGGGTAAATTTATGTTTTGAGTATTGCCCTCAAATGTCTAACCATTCTTCAAGGAACAGTACTCATCTGCAGAGAAGGTAAAAAAAAAGTAGAGACTTTCTACCAAAGATTTTACAAATTAATGTATTGTGTTCCACCTCTTTCATAGAGTAATTAAAAAGATGAAAGCCATTCTCCAAGAAAGGTTTATAACACCATCTGTATCTTGCTTCCCTCAGTTTCCCCTTTCTGTCACCATTTACTTTAACAGCTTGTGTCTGCAATAGCCTGATCTGCACCGATCAAAACAGCAGACCACAGGATTTTGGTAATCAGTCTCTTTTTCAGATTGCCCTCTGTGCTAATTTCAAATGCTGAAACTGCATATAACATAGCAAAAAAGGAAATCAGAGCATCTACTACAGCCTTGCATGCCATCAGGCAATAGGTTTTTGATGAATAAATCTGACCTTTTTACAATATGTATGCAGTAACAAGAAGAGGACTGCAGCTGAGGGCACAGGGAGCTCAAGTCCAGACAATACAGTATGCGAGGGCAAACCATAATGCATCTTGAGTGAACACGCTAGAGCACAGCTAAGAATATTTCTGCAGTGTTTTGTGTGCTCTACTAACTCTGGTGCATCTGAGATACAATTTGTGCCACTATCAAAGTAAATAGAAGTTTTCTATTCCCCCCCCAGCCCCAGGAATCAAGGCATGCACGTAGATCTAGACCTCAAAAAGCAGCTCCAGGAGTAACTGCAAAGTACGGCTCTATAATCTCTACAGCAGCACTCTGCTTAAAAGCATTCCTATAGTAGAAAGAAGAGGTCAAGCAAACAGATAGAGCAACTCTCAGTGTCATACACAAGAAGGTGGCACAGACTAGTTAATCTCAAATGTTCTAAAACACATTAACCATCTGGCACAAAGCTTCCCACCAGGGTCAAAAGAACTCCAAAGTACAGGATAAGGAATGTATCTCCAAAGTGTGGTTGCTACATCAACCCTGGTTAGCTATCTAGGGCGCCTGGAAGTGGTGCACTGCAACATAACAGACATATTTCATTTCTCAATTTGTGTTTCTCAACATTTCCCAGCTCTCCAGTGCTATCCATTGAGGTCTTGACACTTAAATCACTCTGCTTTATCTCAAGGTTTGAAGTGCCTGTGTACTGCCTGGGGCACGCTACCCCTGTGCACACCCTCCTCCTCGCTGGAGAGCTGCCGAGGTGTTTTAGCACCGGTCTCCACGGAGCCATCGCCTCCAGCTGAGCTGCGCTCAGCTACACAGAGGGTGTTCTGCACTATGCAGGATCAGGCTCTTTGTTCACAGCATTTTCATGGCACAGAAGCAGGAAAACACTGAATGTTGCAAATGGTTTTTCCTGACATGGGGGCAAGCATGAAAGCATTAACCATCATTTACCCATTGCACAGCACACAGAGAATGCTGCCTGGGAGCTATGCACTGCAATGTATTTCCCCTGATTCTGCTGCCAACTGTGACACGCTGCAGTGCTCCAGGGAAACAGCTAACCGTTCGTGATCAGACTGCACCAAGTTCCACATCTCTCATAAAACACAGAGGTACAAGCAGAACAAGAACCGCAGTGGTGTTTCCAGCCCTCCATTTCTCCCTCAAACAACAGATAACGGATACACAAGAGGGGGTTATGAGACTTGAGAGGTTCAGTGATCAAGAACTTGGGAGTTTCAAACAAAAATAAGCAAGTTTACTGCAACAAACTTTCTCTTCCTTTTCTCACAATGCCTGTAAACAAGGTAGTGGTAGTCCAGCAGCTTTCCGGCCCAAACAATTCTGAGCTAGAATTGCAAACTGAGCTAGTTTGCAAGGCTGATTTTCCTTAAGTCTTCAAGACATTTGTAACACAGGTCTAGAAATGGACAGAGAGCATGGGCTCCCGTCTGAAAGAAGATGTAGTGACAGACCAAAGAGCTGCAGCTAGGCACTTGCTTAAGTCTGAAGCTGGCAATTTTAAAAGAGGAAGAAAAAAGCTTCTAAAAATGGGATATTTATGCCCACTGCTGTGCAAAATAAGAAGCCTGTGTAGGTCAGATATTTTGCTTCAGAGTTAAAGATCACCTTCAAGGGAAAAAAAAGCAATCAGGCAGCTCAAACCCAGCTGTATCACTCTGCCATGCCTACTCTTCACTAGCAATCCACAACATCTGTGCATGTAGGTCTCCCAGAATAATTATGGCTTTAGACCCACTCCTCTAGCTTTCCCACCTGAGCAAATAATCTTTTTTAAAAAAATCAAGTTTAAATGACCATTAGCCAGTGACTGCAAATCATTGCTAACTGTAACAAGCCTTTTTAATAATTGTACATTGCTAATACAAAGGCCTATGGCAAGCACAGCTGTAACAGACTAAAAGACTAGTGGTCTGATCAGCCTTCTGCTTCGTTCCTAGTCTAGTCACGCTGCAGTCATGGCTGCACTTGACCCAAGGGAGTGCTAATAAACAGGTTGTGAAGTTGCTGAAAGAGGACAGGACAGTCAAAAAACGCCACCAGGATACCAAGCCGTGAAGTCCTAGAGTTGTTGGTTCTAATAGATGCAATAATTTACTTTAGGTCATTCTCACCAGAGAGAAGGTCACCAGAAGACTCAACACCAGCAAAAACAGCTACTGAATTTATTGTATCTAATTCCCCAAGACACCCTATAAGTTAATGAAGTCTGTGTGAGAACAGGGAAAACAGCCTTTGAGGCAATACTACACAATAAATCCTAGCAAGCAATAGGCAGTCCAACCAGAACTGTCTGCACAAGATTCAGCCAGCTCTAACCACAGGCCAGGCAGTGCAGCAGCTACACTGCATATGAAAGGATTCAAAAGTTTTCACCACTACCGGAGAAAGCTATCTTCAACCATGGAAAAAAAAATGACAGTGATTTTAGAGTTAGCGCTGGTCCTATTTTTCTCATTAAAAGCTACGACACTGTGCAGCACCTCTGCAGAACAGGGGCTCCAAGCAAAGCCACCAGTTAAGAGCACGTGGTTCTAGTCAGGGCTATTCACTGATAAGCCTAACATGAATGATCTTACCTTATTACAGTGCAACCAAATCACTTTTGCCTTTCTCAAGCAGGCACACTAGCAGCATGACATCATTAGGTAACATTCTGCTTCTGGCATCCCACTGCCATTCACTTGCCCCCCATGGGCTCCTCTCAACAGCCTCTAAATGCTCTAACCTCGTTGTATGTCACAAGCGAGTCCCAGCACTGTGGCTGTCCTGGCCACAACCTGGCGCCTATGTTTTCCCTGAATTTTTTTTCCTTAGTTTATTATTAGTGTAGCATAACACAGTTGCTAAATCCCTCTCAACAGACAATTACTGTACTTGCAACTTGCAAGATCTACACAACCAGATAGTAAAAAAAGTAGGTAAAGCCTGGTAACAGCAGGTGACTGACAAGCAACATTTATGATAAAGAACACCACTACCCGTGGAGAACACCACAGAGGACAAAGAACAGTCCCTTAGTGGCTACTGTATATATCACTGACTAGTCAAAGACACAACCAGTTCTCAGATCACAATTTTCTTTTACCTCTATTATATGCCACAACACATCCTTCAGAACTGCTTGGTTTTACTTAGATCCAGATTCCACCCAATATGATGAGCAGTGGACAGGTCCAGCCTATGCAGAACATCCTCATGTTGGCCATCTCCCTTTTCTCTTTTCCTCACTGTTTTAAAGTTCAGCAAACTCCACAGCACCACCGTGTGATACGAACCATCAAGTGCAAGGTAGGCACAGGCTGATGGCTTGAGGCCACAGAGATCCGGAGGTTTTGTGTCTTAGTTACCTGCGCTAGTTGCCGAGCGCTCACTGTTGCAATAGTCACAGGCTCCGTTACCACCCAGCAGTTCTGCCTTGGTTACAGGAAAACTGATCCCTATTTGCAGTGACAGACAGTGCCTTCAGCTAAGAACCAGGCCCTACATATGTGAACTCCTCAGTTCAGAAGAGAGACTGCTTCAAGAAGTGCCTACACTTAAGCAGACTTTGTAACAGCAAGAGCATAAATACTCCAGAACATAAACTCAGTGGACAAAGCAAAAAAATTAACCAGTGAATGTCACTGAATCTATGTGAACGCACTGATGACAAAGCTACCAACAACATTCATGTTACATTATCAACACTCACCCTTTTACATTGGTTTGTATTAGAAATCAATATTTTTCCCCCTTTTAGGTTTGGGGGTTTTTTGTGTGTATGTATGCTGGTTGATTTGGGTTTTTTAACAGCTTGGAATCTCAAAAAAATATTGGGCTAATCTTAATTATTGCTTCAATTTAACAGATGGCAAGAAAAGACCTAATGTGTGGTCTGCCCAGAGCTGAGTTCGGTACTCAGCCTTATACCTCCCCTACAAGGCTACAGAGGCAATGGCACCGATTGCACCTGCAGGGGTCTCAGGGCTGGAAGAAGTATCCAGACCCAGGAGGCTATCTCCAGAAAGGAGAGACAAGAGTTAAGGGATAAGGCTGGGTTGAAAAGATGTTGCCAACAAAGGACCTTCTACAAATAAAGCTTTCGAGAAGAGTAAGCCATCAATGACAGAATATTAAAATGGCTGCTTGCTTCCAAGGAAGCCAGTGCTCTGCTCTGTGGCTTGCATCCACAGCCAGATGAGGAACTAATTCAGAAGTGAGAGGATAAGGCAGGAAAAGCACACACTACAGAAGCCATATTTGGGCTGGCTTTTCATCCATCATCTTATTTTCAGTGCTGCAATAAACATAACTTGCCTTTACACAAGCATTCATTTAAGCTGCTGTACAAACACGGACAAGTCAAGAACTGTGTGACACTGGATGCCAACCTATGTTTTGTTTCATCATGAGGTTTGTTTCCTTCTAAACTGAAATAAGGGGATCTAGACTAACAGTCAGCAATTCTGGAATTCATTTCTAGGTCTGCTTCTGAACACTTGAGTTGGAGAAAAGGCAGCAAACCTGTCAAGGTGATTTGCTCTAGGTGCCATGTCTAGCTCGAGCCCAGAGCTGTGGAAGTGCCAGAGAATTAATTCCACAGAGGAGTTCTGATAGTCAAAGCAATGTGTGAAAAAGGGAATTTTCCAAAAGTTATTCCCAAGAACCCACTGAGGAAAAGCAGCAGTGTGACAACAACAGTGTAGATTTATTATTTTAGTTTACATACTTTAAATCAGCATAATGTGTTTGAAATTCTGGCATTATCTTATGGCATGTAGCATAAAACAGAAAAAAACTACAGATTACTTGCCTTTGCCGTCTGTTGCTGAAGCCTCCTGTAAATGTCTTATTGACCTGAAAAATAAAAATAAAAGAGAGTAGATTAGCTACAATTTTTGCACTCCCTGTTCACTGCAGCCCTCTAGAACTCTGCAAGTTTTGTTAGCTCTTTATGGCCAGGCTGCGCTCATAACTAACCTTGCTTACTGGGCTTGTCACTGCACACACTTCACCCCCATCTCCCTGGCTCAGGCAGCTAGTTCAAGTGTCTGTATCTCCCTGGCATGAAGAAAGCCAACGCTAAAGCCTACTTCAGCCTCCAGAAAGCTTTGAGGGAGGGAGGGAGCACAGTGACAAACTGGGGCATTTTCCAGCATAATGCTTTCCACTTGTACAATTAAGCTGAGATACTATTCAGAGTACTGCCAAGTATTTGGCATCTTACTGCTCTTTTAAGCTCTTTTCATTTAAATAGTTGATTACAGCTTACATGTCTACATAGGCAACTTATGTAAGAGAAGCTACCCTGCAGGAATTTAAATTCAAGGGCCAAGTCTTAGTCACCTTGCTCACATGAGTCATCTCACCAGCTGCAGTGACACTAACCAGATGAAAAAGGGGCAGGATTTTACGCTCTGGGCTTCACTGCTGGTTTATGCTGGTACCATGACAATGCAGGAAACACTGGCTGCACACTACAAATAGTTACAGGACGGTTCACCCAAATCTATTTGTTCTTCAGACAGTTCCTTTATGGAAAGCAAGCTTTGTACCAGCATATTGCTAGGTACGACATACAGATTCTAGCGCTAGATAGCAAGAGCTGTGACTGTAAAAGTCACCTTTATCATAGGAAATCGGAGTCTCTCCGCAACTAAAGTTAATATTCCTGGAGTTTTATCTGCCATACCCAAATGTTCTCAACCTCAGAAGCACTGCAGCATTTTGAAAGCAGGAGGGGAAGAGGCAAGTGGGTAGTGCAAATTTATTGGAAGACATTTCCCAGCCTTGGCAGAAGGCCAGTAAGACTGTACAGGGTTTTACCCTTACACAGAAGACAACTGGGAAGGTAAGGAGAGCTGAAACCCACCCTCACAAGCCAAGCTGAAGCATACTCCTACCTACTGAGCAACATGTACGTGTATCTTTACGCAAACATAATCTATGAGCTATGAAACAGCTCTCTGAAACTCAAAGAGTTACTCCAGAATGATTACATGTTTGCATACTCCCACCTACTGAGCAACATGTACGTGTATCTTGACGCAAACACATAATCTATGAGCTATGAAACAGCTCTCTGAAACTCAAAGAGTTACTCCAGAATGATTACATGTTTACTAAGTAGACATTTATATTCACTCTGCATTTCAGAAAAAAAATACTTCAGATACTGGAGAAGAATAAGAATATTCTGTGTTTACTAACTAAGGAGCCAGAAGCTCCTCATATCCTCCTTTAAATACAGCTGTTTATCCAATTAAGGCTAAAATGAATTTAGAAGATAAATGTTCTGACAAACTGGCAAGAAGCAACAATAGTGTTTATCTGAATTATCTGTGTTTTGGTTGAGCTTTATATAACCAACATTATTCCTTGCCAAGTAGAGTGGAAGGAAAGGCAGCGAAAAGCTCCCTGTGGGATTATTTCTTAACAGTTAAGTAAAAATGCAGCTACTCTGCTTGAAGGCAGCACTGATCTTAGCACTATTGTTTTAGAATTTAGCAGCCTAGTTTCCAGCCTCAGTCAGTAAAGCAAAATCCTGTTTCTCAACGTAAGAGTCAGCACTTTTGCAAAATTCCAAGTTTCAAAAGCACTTATAGTCTGCACTGTCCTTAAATTGCCACCCACTTTACCGTATCACCACCTTACCATCTCCAAAACAAGTATCTTCCACAACACAAGACTGAAGTGTTAAGACCGATACAGTTTAAAAAAAAAAGTTAACAGAACTCCTGACTCCAAAGGACCAGTACTTCTTTGCTTTAGCAGTACATTAAGCTCTAACTAGCAGTCAACACCAATTAGTTCAGAAATGGCTCAAGCCACGAGGGCTCCGAAACCATGCAACACAGTGACTCACCATACCACTGGAAATAGGATGGCTCCACAACATAGCAAGTCTACCAGGAAGAGGATTTCTTTCCACAGCCCATATTCAGTTGTTCCCTCTTCTGTTGATTCTATGATGATATATGCCACGTTTGCCAGTACCTACAAGACAGAACATGCTTAATGGTTTCAGCAGCTTTCCAAGGAGATACTAGATGCTGGCTGCCAAATCAGCAAAAGCTGTCCCACAGTTGCAGAAAGAGCCCATTCAGTAACATCAATAATAATTCTATGTCAAGAAAATCACATGTTCAGCAGCATCTTCACAGGATTTACAGAAATAAAACTGATTGGAACTTTTCTGTTGACATTCAGAAAGCAGTCCTTTTTGTTATATACTATGCTGAAGCTACTGTATCAGTAGAGATAAAAGACCAAAATATATTTATTAAAATACAGAAACAGGGTTCTGTGTACATACATATAGCGAACAGTTTCAACACATTATTCTAAATTAAGCCAATAATTCAAATGGGTCATTGACCACGTCTTGTACTCCATACCCAAGCTCTATAAGAGCCTCAAACACTAATTATATACTTCTGGTTTTGCAGTTGGGTAAGGGATTCCATCTAGAAAGGCTGTTCTGTCTGCAACAGTTAGAAGTGCTGCCCTCCTATTCAGTTGCTAGAGTAGGAGACAAGCACCGATCATTTTGAACACACTGGGAAAGTCCCTCTCAGACCCAACAGACCTACAAGTCTCAGTTTTCCCTCTTTTTTTTCCTTAAGCCCATTCAGCAAGCATTTCAGAAGGGACAACTTCCATTTAATTTCTCTGCTTAGCAGTTTAGTACTGTTTTGCAGCCCAGGTTTTGACCCAGCATGAATATACCTACCTCATAGCCAGCTGTTCATTTGCTGACACTATTTGATCACCATTGTCTCATACTCAATATAGGGAGAAAAGTGGGGAAAATTACAGAAGTAACTTCTGGCCCAGGAAACTCCAGCTCAACCTATATTGCAACCAATAGACTTACACAAGCAGTAACTATGCACTATTTTGTGAAGGTTTCACAGCCTTTACAGTTTCCACAAGCAGCCCTCCCACAAGACAGTAAGTACTGACACAGCTCAGTCCTCACCTGAAGTGGGATGACAATCATGAAAATTTTTTTGTCTTTATCTGACAGGATATGTTTAATGAAAGCCCAGCCTGTGCCAATAAGGGCAATAGTGATGAACAGAAGAGCACCCTTCAGTCTGAAAGAGAAACAGATACTGAAGTGAGAGACTTCATTTTATCACATTTCCTCCTCTGCCCAGGTTCTCTCCTACAGCCAGTAAAGCCACAAACCCAAATAAATGCCTTGCTATTCATAATTTTGCCAAGTGCTTATCCTACAACAGTCAAGCAGATGTACATGCTTTACAACTATGTATCATACAGCAATATTAGACTTCATTCACAATTGTCAATATATACAATCTTTTCCTGGCGGAGTCATCCATTCACCATTGTGAACAGAAGACAACACTGGCAGCTGCACCCTCTTACCATTCACACCCAACGCAAATTAGATACTTGGATATTAGTAAGAACAAAGAAAAGACATTTCTTCTCCTTTTACTCCTCCACCCAGATAAGTACCAATTCTCTGCAGCTGCTCTCTGTAAGTAGAGCCTTCCCCTTCACACAGGGCTGACTGTTGTCTTGTCATTCAGACTGTGGTACCAAAGAATCAGCAATTTTCCAGTTTGCTCAGGAGGGAGGGGGGCAGCCCCACAGGGAAATCAATTTCATTATCTGAATCTATCATATCAATCTTTTGCCATACTCACAGGTGAGTGATGTAATAAACAACAGCCCAGCCTTCAATAGGAAATCCCTGAGAAGAAATGTAGTGATAGTCGATCTGGAAGCAGAAAATACAGTACATGACTTTACAAGCTGCTCACCAGCACCCCACCTGTATCTATAACATAGGTCTGCTTGACAGCCACTGAAAGTTTCATTTTACAATCAGTGGGTACAAACTCAGCTCTGTTACATCTTAGAGAATACTCTCCCAACACATTCTGGTTTGTTTAGCAACAATGGGACATTTCCATTTGCTCTATTTCCTAACTGTTACTGGATATATCTCATACAATCTACATCCTTCCCATACAGCTCCCACACTTAACTGTCGCTAAACGGCTGCATTTGTAATCTATTCATTAATTGTTCAAGTTCAGTTGCATTAGATGACTAGAGGCTTTCTGGTCTCACTTTCACTGGAAACCAGATTCAATTCATTAGAATCCAAAAATGTTTCCAGCAGTTATCCTATCGTGAAGGTGAAGATCATTGCAGCACAAACACTGAAGGATTAAATGCTTCCCGTTACATTTGTTTACGAGATCTTTCCAGTAGAAAGGCAAAGTCAACACAGTTCAAAGATTTTATGTATTTAAAGTGTTAAAGATGAAAATGTTCGGTGTTTTACAGTACACCATAATACCTCATCTAAAGTAGTGCCCTTGAATTCTGCAAACATTCATCAAGGTTTCCATTTATTAACATTCATTGCAAGCCACGTAGCTGAAAGGAGCACCAGAGCTCAAGCTTTCAGGCCAGCCTCAGATGGGCAAAACACGAGAACTTATGGAATGCATTCAACCCTTGCTGCTTCACTGCTTCGGGCCATAATCTCAGTTGTATTTAAAGTCAGAATTTGCTGATGAAAACTGAATCACTTCCACCAAGCAGCTGCAGTTCAGTTCCAATGTTTCAAGAGGAAAGACACGATTCTTTCCCTCCCATTCTCCCCCTCAAAGCAGATTTCTCTAACAGCGTGCCCTGGATTCCATGTTTCTACTTCCTAGCTGAACAACTTATGGCAGAGATGTTATACACACCGCATGGAAGACTAAGGACAGAGATTTTGTGAAAGGGAGGGCTGCCATTAGCCAGTGAATCTTAAAGACATCATTTCTGGGAAGAAAAAAGAAGGAAGAGCAGCAATTAAAAGGCAGCAGTAAAAATTTCAGTTCCCAAGGGTAATTTTTTTAAAATCGACAAACATCAAACAGTAACTCCCAGGCTGAGCTGACAAAGTAAAAGGATTTCCTTTAACGCTGCAGTCCAAGTTTTTGCGACATCCTGAACAACATTTCAATTACATGTTCTACAACCTCTGATTTTTAATACTTGGTTTAATCAAAAATAGTAATTCATAGGAACATCTTGCATACACAGATCACAACTGTTACAAAATCTGCTAAACATAATTCCAACATGTATTAATCCACCCTCTGCCCCCAAGTCACTATACCACACCATCAAGTGAACTCCAGACTACCAAACAATCTCAGCACCAAGTGAGCTTCAGGTTAAGTCAGAGGTAAAACCAAAATGGAATCATAGGTACTGCTGGCTTCTGTTGCTATGCTTTAACCATTAAGCAGCACAGTTTTCAACTATGAAACAGTTGAATATTAGGCATACAAACACTGAGCCAGATTCGGAGTTTTAAGTGATTAAATCTGACTATGAATTGGGCTTTATACGAGGAAGTATAAAAAATAAAAATCAAACAAGGTTAGCCCATACTTGTCACTGACACCAAACTAGTCCACTTACCTGCGTTTACGAAGTATATGGATCCATACAGTCCCAGACAGGAAGAAGAAGCTAGCCATGGAAATGTAAAGTTTTGGCAGTGGGATCTCACCCGCTGAGAGGTAGCTTTCAGGATTCTTCTCCGTAATTTCTATCTGAATATTAAAGGTGTGTTACATACACAGTTGAAAAACCATTTTGTTAAAGCACTGAGTTAACAATTACAGTTCACAATCAAATTCACTCATTTAAAATTAGCTTTTCTGAAGCAGTGACTGTTATGAGACTCTTAAAGAAAAAAATAAAAGCAGCTCTTCATCTTTAAGAATCTCAAAACACTTTGCAAAATTACACCCACAGCAATAATTTCCTTGAAAAGCAGGAAAGGACAGAGGTTCTTTCCCGTGCTTCAGTTGTGCAAAATAATTCAGAAAGGCAAAGTAATTTTCACAAAGAATAGTTGTTCTCTATACCAAACTTCAGAGTTTGCCCACCTTTGATTCAGAAACAGTATCTACAACCTTGCATACACAAGCAGGTTTTTTATCACAGTCCTGATTTTAGGTGTGGATTAGGTGGTGATTTTACATAGCTGAAAAACCTCACTCTTACATTTACTACAGTGAATTTCTTCACCTGTGAAGAGAAAGGAAGCACTCTGCTGCAAGCCTATTGCCCTGTGACTGAGAAAACAGAAGCTTAATTTAACATCCTATTCATGCCCCGAAACAGGTTGGTTCTGTGTGCTAGGACTTGATTAAAATAATGCAACAAGACTAGTTTGCAGTACTGAAACTGTCCTGCATCTCTACACACAACCAAGCAGGTCAGTTAACCAAGTCTTCTTCTCTTTCCAATTTCTTCAGTGGGTCAAAGCAATAAACAGCAATTCAAAAACTTTGTCTAAATACACAACTTCAGAAGCAGATTTAAAGTAGACTAGTCTGAGGTAAATTAGGGCTGACAAGTTTTATCACCTACAAGTTCCCTTGCTTTTCCCTTGCAGTAGCGTCAGCACAACCACGTAAAAAGCAGCTCAGAAGTCTGATCTGGCTGAGAGTCACCTCGATCAATGAGAGGATTCGCTACAGAATAGCTCACTATACAGCAGCATGGATGCCAGCTTAAGCACAGGAAAGAGAACAAAGGGAAAGCCTGAGCTCTGATGATGTACTGTGGCTCAAGAGCGTAAGACTGAACCCTTGCCGTTAAGATGTGCATCTAAGACTGTAAAAATGCCCTTGAATAAGGCCAGAAAAAGCAAAAGCACTGCATTGCAAAGCACTGATTGCAGCAATAGCTTTAATATCTGCAATTGTGTAAAGAAAAGTGATTTTTGAGCACAGCAAAACATGAACAGCTGTTTTAGTTCCCATCTCATTACAGCATCTAGTCACAACTGTGTAGACTGAACCCAGCCCACACGCAGTCTTCAGATTTCCAGACATTTATCCAAAACTAGTATCTTAATTCTTACTTGTAGTTGCTTCCTTCAGAAATGCCACCACAGAGATTAAATGCACAACTCTGAATCATTTCCCACCCCTTATATACACTCCTCTACAATGTGTGCTTGGTATATACGCTAGAATTGAAAGCTGTATATTCCAAGTCTAAATTAATGCGCTAATTGTACTTTAAAAGCTGTACTCACATCAAGACTAAATAGCCGCTGGTCATGAGGCTGCCCATCACTGCTAGCACATTTATGGAAATACAGGCTGTAGAGACCTTCTTGGTTATCAGAGCTGATGTTAAAAAAGAACTGAAAATAAGGAATAGGAAAGTCAGCATTCTTGTCATCCACAACAGGGTGGCCCTGGTAAGAAGCCATCTCTACTGAAGCATGAAAAACAGTCATTTGGGGTCAGCTGGTTCCTTTCAGCAAGCATACTGTTCTAAGGATACCAGCATCTGCAAAGCTTCAACAGAATTCTAGATGTGAAAATCACTGCACCTGTCTATGATTATGCACTGTGGTAATCCATGACCTTCACCAAAGGCTTTTAGGTATCAGTGTTTAACTTACTTCACAACAGAGAAAAGTGTCATTTATTTAACATTGAAGCATAAAATTTTGATCATACTTGCCCTAAAGCATAAGCAGCTATTCTGTTCCTCCCCCAACTATGCAAATTGTGATAGCTATGGAAATGAGATTTGTGTCACACAGCAGAATTTATAACGTTTGTTTTATAATAACCAACAATCACATGTGAACCAGGGTGCTGAAGCAAAGCGTTAATGTGGTTTCATACAGAGAGTATCTTCCTCTTAAGGGAGTTGTTAGGTCAAAGCTGTTTGTTGTCAGAAACCTGTATGCACTAGTTGCATGACAGTGAGCTATAATACGCTGAGGCTCACAGAGTAAGATATTTAGAACAAATGCATTATACCAAAACAATTTAAAACAGCTCCCACACCTTATAGAGATTTCCAGCTCTTATTCTTAACAAGAGTCCACTCAAAAGTACTGAGCTATCAAGTGGCATCTACACCAGACTCTCAGTTTTCACAAAGTAGTACAGTGAAGGAACTGTCTGTACCCATTAAGACTGGACACTGACAGACAACCTACCTGAAATGAAAACGTTCCTCTGTCATTGTGAATAGGATATTCTTGTTCTACTATGCTCTGGGAAAAGGAAAAGAGACTTTTAGATTTTTTTAGACAGGTAACTACCACATTTGGCTACATCATCCCATCAAAACTGCATTCTGTGTATTTACAACGGAGGCCAAGAGCAATAGAAAATACTCTCCCCTTTCTGGCTATGCTTACACCAGAATGTTCCCCCAGGTTCTTTCTGAAAGAGAATAACAGACAGTTTCTTACCTGGGAGGATGTTGTACTTCGTTTGGACTTCTTATCTAGAGATAAAAGTATAGTGGTACATTTAGTGTTTGCGTTTAGACATCCTCATAGACTACCACCTTTCACACGTTGCCAATGTTACTCAAATCTTCCTATACTTGTCTGCGTGGCAGTTACCTAGATAATAATTAACAGAGATTCCCTCCGAGTCCCTCCTTGATCTCCCGGGACTCTTCCCACAACTAGCATTCATTCCGAATGCTAGGATAGGCTTCTCTACTATTACACCTCCTACAAAAGCCCACCCATGAAATCTTTCCAAGCCCTCCGATTCCAGTGATGCAGGAGGCAGATGACCTACACCAGACGCAGGCTACAGCTTTGTTTCTAAAAGTCACAGCTATAGACTGTATACGTTATCACTGAGAACTGTTAATCTCTGGACATTAATACATAGCCTGACAAACACACAGAAATCCTAATTAACCCTAGGGAAGGAAAAAGTTCACAGCTCTTTACTAAGCAAAACCTTGGCGTCATTGTCCTTCTAACCTTCCTTCAACTAGTTGTTGGTGACAGCCAACTCAAAAGGCAGCTCTATGCGCAGGTTTACACAAGCCTGTACATCAAGTTCTAGCTCAAGGGGACCCCAGAACGTGACCACAACACACTGCTGGGTGCACATGAACAAGGAACTAGCGTGAGAGCACATATAGGTCAGGTTTAGCAAGCTTACCTTTGCTGGCTGTGTTTTGGTCGGTCCTTGCAGGATTTTTCCCAGAATCACTGCTCTGTTCGGAAGTTTTTACTGGCTTGGTACTTAAGGCAGTAACATTTTCCTCAGACATGAATGAAATTTTAGGTAACAAAGCAGCAGCTTCTGCAGAGAACCGTACCTTCACACTAAATAAACAAAGAGTTTTTATACAAAATGAAAGCAAATCAACATTCGTAGAGAGGCTATCTGTCACAGCCTACATATAACAAATAAAAGCAAATCAACTTGTTTTGGCTTGTTTCTTTTACCACAGAAAACAGGCAAACACCAGATTGTGACTTTCAGCAGCCTGGCACTGAACTGATCACTGTGGGAGAAGTCACACTATACATTTACATCAAATACAAGAGCAGCTGAAGAAAAATAGGTTTATTCAGTTTTGGTAACCAGAGCCTCATTAGAAATCATGTTTCCACACAAACAGTTACAGTTGTTCTTGCAAAAGAAAGCAACGCAGCCCCAAAGGTAATTCCATAAAATAGATAATTCAAGACAAACAAATAAAGTGGCATATTCAGTGCAAGAGCTGCAAAAGTCACCCAAGACTTCAAGTTCATGCCTTCAGCACAATTAAGGTATGATTCTTTTGCCCTATGTCCCCTTATTCCTCCAAAATACAGCAAGAATTCTCAGACCATTTTCTACTGCAGATTTTTTCTTTCACTCTCACATAACCCATTAAAAAATAAACTACACGCCCCGCAGCTTTCCAAGCCCTTAAAGAAATCTCACAAGAAATTTTACATTAGCTTCAACTAGAGAAGTAACTTTAAAATGTAGTGTACACTATTTACTCACACTTTAGTTTGTAAGTCTAGAAGTAAGATTACAACAGAGACATCTGGCTCTGGTTCCTTTTTCAAGATACAGTAATCCACTTCTTCATCCTGGTAATACAAGCAAAGCATCTTTGAAGTGCCCTCCCATTTGTAAGAAATAAGACATGTTTCCCCCCAGGTAGATGTTACCATGCTTAGTACAGAAAGCTGTAAAATTGAATTATCCTTAACAACCTGCCCACACCTAAAGCACCCCCCCCTCCCTTTTTTTTTTTAATTTCTTCCAACCATTCCCCAAATAAGGTAGACTATGAGATGCTGCCAGCTTAGAAAATTAAGTTCATATCTCTTACTCTTACCAGGTAAGTGGAGAACCCATCATTCCTTGTTCGGTCCAAACTGAACCCCACCTATGAGACAATTGAAAAGAATCTGTTAAATTAAACCAGTTCAGGTTCCCCTAGTATCAGAAGCCAAACCACCACCAAAAGAGTCAAAGATACTGCTCTCTAAATAAAATAACCTATGTTTAAGTCAGAATACAGGTATTTTTCTTGTATTGTTCTCATTATCTAGATAGAAAAAAATTTATTCATATATAATAAAGTTGCTGCTTCCTCCATACCCACCAAGAATAAAATATATACTGATTCAAACCCAAACTAATCTAGAATACCTTCTGCCCCTGAACCTTCTAACTTCAGTATTTTTTCCAGATGTTTTTGCTTGAGGAAAACATTTAATACTTATTTAATAAAGAGGTCAAACTGTGCAGAAGAGTAAGAACATAGGTCTGTTTTCTACCCCAGTATTTCAGTCCCTCTATTAAAATCACCAATATAATGCACTATGTAACATGTAACCTCAGAGTCCTCTACAAACAAAACAGTCACTATTCTGGAAACCTACTGATATAATGATTACAAGATGCACTGCAATGCAACAGGATAACAACGTGAAAACCTCACACCAGAGCACTGCTTAGGGAACCTATGTCCAATATAGGCTATAGATGTGTGCATCGAGTTCAGGAGAGGATCCGATAAGTTAAAGTTTATCCTTAAAGCAGAATGGAGAGTGCTCAAGGGTAAATCTCACAATATACATACCCTCACAAATGGCTCACAGCAGTGAGCAAAGCCAACAGCACCACCAGCTAGGATCTGACACCTCAAACAAGTTAAGGCATCAAGGGCAAATTCACAGGAAGCTTAATACAGTCACTGGACTCAAAGTAACTCACCGATAAGCTGTTCTTGTCACCAGAGCCAACAGGCGGCTTCAGTGAAAGGTTGCTGACATTGACTTTCATGAAACCATTCTTGAAGAAGCCAAAGGTATTCAGGTGCACTTTCTGCCTCACATCATCCTGTAAGAAAGGAAAGTAAGTTTACAAATCACATACACAATCACCTGCAGCAGCAAAGAGGATGCAGGTGACAGAGATTGACACTGACTTAAGTATTAATGCAAAACATCTGATCATATCTAAAGCTAATTTCTTTAGGATATCTTCAGACATAGCCAATGACTTCACTGGAACTGACCACCTCTTCCAATAACCTGAATAGCAAGAACTTTAAATAAATGTGCCCTTGCTAATTACTTGGATATACTACTGAGGAATATGCAAGAAGAAAGACAGGAAGAAAATAAATATCTGGCATCACTGATTAAATAAAATGTTGCTACAAAAAAAAAAAGATACTATAGACAAATCAAGACAACTACTGTTTGAATGCTAGATACTGTCATTGCGACAGACTGAAGAGGAATTAGTTGACTATAGTAATCTTACCCAAGAGCTGGGTTTTGGCCAAGTGTTTAACGAGTATCACAGTGTATTGTCACCCCATCAGATCTGTGTTGGGCAGGGTCAACGTTTGGACAGTCAAAACACCTAACACACTGGAAAACTATGTGTATGGTGTAGATGAGAAAATTTCTTATGTTGTCCCATTCCTCCAAAAGATTTTTAGCAAGGCCTTGCATCTTACGAGTAGGATTAATACTGAAAACTGGATATATGGCTTCAAACAGAATCGACCAGGTTAGTTTCACTAGCAGGAAAATCCCAATCCCTTCTTTTGCTCCCAGTCTTAGTTGCAGAAGAATTTACTTCCTCTCAGTCTGGCAGTGAAACTGTAGAAATTGATCATTTTCCATGCCTTGCTCAGCTGACAAAGGTTCAAGTACAGTGAGTGTTTTTTTTTAAATAAGGAGATCATGAAAGACCTCACATGAAAAGCAGTAAACATTACACACAGCTGCCACATCAGATGAGGAAAGGTCATGTCCCTGTTACTTGGCATTCATAAATCAATAAATGGGTAATGCAGTTGCACCTTCAATCCTACAGGACCACTTAATTGGGAGAGGAGCAGAAACAGAACAACGAAAAGTAAAAAGCAAGTTTAAAATGTGATTTAAAGCACTTTTACAAGTTGCCACTAAAAATAAGAAAATTGTTTCTTCCTCTTGTTTCTTCTAGGAAAAGATAATCAGATTGCAGAATACTCCCAGGAGACAAGTCAGCTGCTAAAGGCAAATAAACTGTTCCGGACAAAGTACTAGAAGACCGAGCTAAGAACTGTAGACGTACATGAAGTCCTCTCTCTTCCTTTATCCCCAGTATTAACTTTGACATCTCTGCATAAACCAGTCCTGACGCATAAATATCACTCACTGTAATTGCAGGACACTAATCCTGACACAGCTAACCTGTAATCTATCTGTAATAAGATCGTCCTAATAGAATCAAGTTAACCTGGCAAATAACCAGATGGTTCCCTCAATGCTCAGAAGAGGGGAAAAAAAAAAAGTTAGTGCCACACAGCTCGCAGCAGATGCTTTGTTCAACACATTATTATAGCTGTGCTGTCTTTGGGTTCTAGGTCACTTAATGAGCTTGAAACATGAGCCCATCTGGTTCATTACCAGTGCTGTCAATATAATTTCCCAGTCAGAACAGAGGATTAATATCAGCTCTTTACATAGCACATCAGGCCTATTTAACCACATCTGGACAGACAAGCACTTGTCTGGGTGATTAGGCAGAGCGGAATATAAGGGAAGCACACAGCATCATCCAGCCACAAGGTGTTCTGCACCCTGTAAACACAACCAGAGACAGCTGCTTAATCCAGAGGACGTGCAAAAACTGTTTGGTTCAAGTTTATTTACTCTGCCAGTTTACTAATATGCTCCCCAACCACAAAACATAATTAATATACAACACACACACACTTTTCCTCCCTGGTCTTATCTCAGCTTTGAGTGCTTAGAGTTTACAGATTTAGTTCACAAATCCTTCAGCTTTACACGATCCCACACACACTGTCACCAGTTGCCAGCAAGCAACAGCACACTCTCCAAGAGCACCTACTGCTCCACATATCAACAGCTTAAGGATACTGGCTTACTAATAATTGTCTCGCCTCTCACAGGAGGTTTAACAGGTTGGAAGAATCTGTCTTTTATTTATAATCACTGAACTGTTGTCTTCAAAAAATATTCAATTGTAAGTTTACAACGAAGGTGAGAACCCATATGAGTGAATACTTAAGCATCGGAGTTGCTAGCGTACACATTATTTTAACTTACACAGGATGCATTTTAACAGTTAAGCCCCTTTGATATGATCTGTGACTCATCACTTACAGGTTACAGTCAAATCAACACAGTAACTTCTCAGATTCTTTCCATAAAAATCTTCCCCACTTCTTCCACTCCTTTAGGATAAAAATTGATCCTGCAACATTTGAATAAGTTTACAGGAAAATGGTATCCAAGATTCAGTAGCCCAGAATGCTCAGAAAAACATTCTTTAATATTTTACCCAGAATCTAATTGGGATCTTGCTATCAGTACAGTGAAAGTTTCATCAGAGAGTACTTACGCTTACATGGAAGGAGTTTTATTATTTGTGTGAGACTAATAGCAAGACTTATAATAAAACCACTCAGTCTGTGGCTTGCTTTTCTGACAACAACAACAACAACAAAAAGCTTCACCTTAGCATGCTAATTACAAAGATACAAGAATGAGGCTATTCTAACTTAAGCAGTAACAGCTTGTTTGAGGAAACCTAACATCAAACACTCGCACAAAGCTGTGGCCTTTAGCTTGGCACAGTGACAAAGCACGCTTCCAAGCAAGCAGCCAATGGCAAGAAAACTAGAAGAGAGATTTCCCTATGAAGGGTACAGTTACTGGAGCCTGATGTTTATGTAAACACTGTAAAGCAGCAGATGAAGCAGACAGGGCGGGACTGTGCTCTAACAATAAAGCCTGTGTTGATACAGGAGGTGAAAAAAGGCATTAACACACTTCCACTTTCCACAGTGCTTGGCAGGTCAGTGTTGCAACTCACACTAAATGCTTGCAAAACTAAAACCATATCCCACTTTGATGGTAAAAATCAGCAACCACAGCTTAGTAACTGATCCAGGAGTTTAAGAGACACCCCAATAGGAACTAAAAGTCGTAATGTTTGCTGCTGAAAACATTTGCTTGAAGGCAGTTTGAAAGTCTATGTAAGTGCAATGTATCACTCCAGGAGAAATTCCTCCATCACTCAAGTGTTAGTCACAAATTCCTCAACATAAAAACATAACTAGCACAAACCTCTGAATTTATTGCTTCAGGGAAAAGTTTACTTTTCCTGAAGCAGAACAACATTCGTGTGGTTGCATATTAGGCAATTACACAGTTTGGAAAATTCCCTACGAATAAGCCATGAACGTCCCCCAGGATTCACTGTATCCCAAAAGCTGAAGGGGAGCTGCGGCAAAGTTTAGGCACTCTCCCTAAACTGCTACAGGAACAGAGTAATGCTGGTCCTAGTCACATACCACTCTATTAGCTTCTTCCAATATTCCAATTGGTAAAATATTGCATATTGTTGACAACAAGAACACAATTAACAATCTCATTCTGAAGATTTACTGAGTGCTTCATGAACTGCACAGCAGCCCTTAAAAAGCACCACCCTCTGTCGCATAACTGTGCAGCTTTTCATTGAAAGCACAACAGACAGCAGCACTCTGGAGCTGCAGATCTTCGCCACGATCTGCACCACTTCCCACCAACCATCCCGAATAACGAGCTTCTCTCAAATACAGGCATGGGACAACACAACGCTCTTTCAAAAGCACAACCAGAACTCTGTTAAACCAAAACAGAGAGCTGTAAGCATCAATATCTTCTTCTGCCTCTACTGATCGCTTGATTAGTGCAAAGAAACGACACTTTTAAGGCCAGTAAGACAGCCAAGCAGCCTTTCAGAGTTGAATGACCAGTGACCAGGGCAGGAAGACAGATTAAAAGCAAATCAACCCCAAACTCCTTTCAGAGGCCTCCCCCCGTCCCATGTTCAGCCCTCCCTCATCACACACAGCTTTCTGCCTCACTTTTAACAGGACGTGAAGCATTTGCACCTTCAAACCGGTGCAGTTTTGAGGCCCCTTCACCCACTTTCCCCGCGACTGAGAAGCAGACGGCCAAAAAGGCAGCGATGGGGCTCAGGGGATGCAGGGGAAATAACGGGAAAAGCCCAACAACGCGGGGCCCGGGCAGGCTGAGGCACAGCCGGAGAGCCCAGAGAGCAGCGAAAAGGGAGAAGGGCCAGGGGGAGGCGGCGGGACGAAACCGGAGGAGCTGAGAGGAAAGCCCCGGCCCGCGGGAGGCGAGCAGGC